ATCCTAGCCATAAGTCAAGAACACATGCTAAAATTGCATCAATCTCTATTAATTTGTTAATTGTTGCCCATTTTGCAAAGAACGGTTAAATGCTTGTAAATTTATATAAATGTGCAAGGATTTGAACTATATGTTGCATATTTATATTGTGTTTTTTCTATTTATATAAAAATAAAAATAGTATAATTTTATTTTTTTCTCAAATAAAACCACCTCTCAGGTGAAGTATCTCAATTCGTACAAAAACCAAAGCAAAATATTTTGTTTTTTATGAAATTAAATTATTTCGTGCTTGAAATTTTGGAATTATTTCTAGAAACTGTTGTAAAAGGTGAGAAAATTATTTGTTTATAATTAGTTTTTTATAAATAGGCAAAAATGAAAATAAATTCAAGACCATGGCGTAACACCTCAAGAATGATCCATTCATTAAAAAATGTAAGCTGAATAATATTTTACGTTACATTTTCATATTCTATAATGGACACCTCTATGTACCCATAGGCCATAGCACAACCCTTCTATTTTATGCGATGATTACTTAAAGAGTTACCACCACTTTAACATATTATTTATACCTCCACCATATATAGGATGAATAATCTTTAGGGGTAATTGTAGCAAAAACCTAAACCATCCGTTTTTCCGTCAATTGACCCAAAAATTAAGTTTGACCACATTTTTAATCAATTAAAAGGGGGAAAATTGTAAATATCTATTAAAATAATTAAAATTGTTTCATAATTGCAACCAGAAGCTTGAAATTTAACAAATTTCATATGAAGCCCCCGTCCCCAACCGAAGGCCTAGTGATATATAAATATGTTTGAACAAAATTTGTCGGACCCTAGTAGTGGTCATCAATGTTGGGCACAAAGAGGCTCCAAAAGCTGTCATAGTGACTAGTCTGGCACTAACACTTCAGTTGAACTTGACAAAACGATAAAGAAAGCCTCATCTTCTATCTTATCTTTTCAAATCTTATTTGCTCTAGATTGTTTCAAGAGAAAAATATATATATTTTTTGAAAAATATATAATTAAAAAATAAAAAATTGTAAATCTCATGAAATATATTATTATGAGGAAAATTATTCTGAAATATGACGTGAAATTAAATCTAAGTGGGTTTCAAATAGAAGTAATGCCAAGAAATTAATTGAATAATGTTACCAGTTCAACTTAAAACAAAGTGAATTAGAAATTCGTGTTAACTCTTCGATTTTTGTAGTTGTGCAACTAAACTTTCACTAATTAATATATCTTGTCAATAATGATGGTTTTCGTCTATAATTTTTATTTACGTGATTTAAAACGAGGGACAAATATTTGAT